GCGGGACCAGCTGATGAAACGAACCCATCGCTGTAAGTAGTAGGCCAGAGGCCTTGACGGCGCGCAATCTCGAGTCAGGAGTGTGGCATCACCCCTCTGAGCGCATTCCTGGAAATATTAGTGATGGAAAGGCCTTCTATGGTCACCTAATCCTGACTCGTGGCTTTAAAGCAACAACCTTAGATCGAATCGGTGGGTTCGGACGGACGATAATGAAATTGTGGATGCTGAACTGACTAAAAATGCTAAGCAAGCAAAGCATACCGTTGACGAGCCCCTTATACAAGGACTCCCTCACTTCCCTTTGAGTTGAGGGAGTGGCGTTCTGGACTATGTAGCTTGCCCCATGGCTCCATTATAGGAATTATTCTCGAAATCGTGATTTCACTCCACCCATAATTCACTGTCTTGGGACCTATCACTCACGACATAAACGAAAAGAACAAAAAATTGCATTTGTTTTGGTAAAAAAATCGAAAAACCGAAAGGGCTGCTACGCGTTCAAATTTCCCGCGGCACATCCACAAATGCTGGCGACGGGAATGCTTCCACTTTCTTTCTGGCCTTTTGACTTATTGCATTCACATCTCACACTTCTACTGCATCCTATTCTATCGATCGATTTGTCTCTACTCTCCAAAATCGCCGCTTCAACCCGATTCTTTCATTGCGTCGCCTGATACGTGGCGAAGTAAGCAAACCAGCCCTTTTGGCGTTTCTGCTGGGGCCGTATGCTGAATGTTGGGGAGGGGATGGGGTCCCCGACGGTCGACGGACTACTTCAACTCGGTCCTTGAAACCGCCTCAATTCGATGCTTACCTCAGGACTAAGCCTTAAAGAGAAGACGGATCTGCGAGAGAAAAGTCCGCCTTGGAGAGAGAACGGACCTACGCTCTCTCCTTCTCAAATATGTGCAGAGCGGAGTGCAGCTGCCTTTCTTGATCCTTGTTCAGGGCCAGCACTCGCTGCCGTATAGCATCGCAGGCCTTACCACTGTCCGGTACACCTTCCCTTTGAGCGTTCTGGAGCACCTTCGATCGCAGAGGATTCCAGTGGACTCCCTCCATTTCATCCATGCCGCGTTGATTCGTGCCTTCACTGCCTGATCCACACTTCCGTCGGCTGCTAGATCGCTCCCAAGGTATCGGAAGTCCTCCAGCCTTTCGATGCATTCCCCACTTCACAATCGGCTCTGTAGCCAGGGTCAAGCGAACTGTCGAGGAAAATTTGGAAATACGACCCCCCTCCCCCCCCCCAGAGGCCGAAGTCCATGAAACGACCCTCTTCAAAAGCCGAACTATGAAAAGGTTGTTTAATTCTCCCCCAAAACTGTTCATAAAAAAGCCCTGCTACCCCACCGTCCACCAAAAAATTCGTTTAAGAAGTACAAAAGTGAAAAAGTCAAAGAATGATCATTATTGATGAGTCCTACCAAACGAGCAAACGAGAAACGGAGCAAAAACGACAAACTAGTCACTAAAAATGGCATACTATGACAACATCTCTTCTTTATTTATTTCCTTCACAAGACTTACCAAATTCTAGTACTACACAGATTGTGGTTCTCAATTTACACGTCCCCTTCAGTTGAAAGAAGCTTGTAACCGCCTTCGCCAGCTGTTGTTGATTGACTTTGGCGTTGGCCTGGAGCAACTTATCTACTATTTAACACGTTGACGACACGCCCTTGTGCGCGCACCTACCCACCTTACTTTACAAATTTGCATCAACAGTTACTACATTACCAATAATTTCATTAGTGGTAACGAGAGAACTATTTTTCGTATCCAACAGTAGGAAGGGCCAGTCTTGAAGCATGAAAATGGAGGCACAATTTAGGAAAAACAAGTCTCTTCCGTGTGAAAGTGCGGGACGTATGTGTCCCGCGCTGTCGTCAAAGTGTTAAATTAGAACACGTATTCAAATGATTATAACTTTCTTCAAATATGACGAATTTTCAATCTGAAAGCAGATTTGGGAGTTTTGTGAAGAGCTCTTTCTAATCAGTACTGAAATTACAAAAATTATAAGAAATAACAAATTTAGATCAATTAACGAGGAAAATTCATGATGAGCACGAGTTTTTACACTTTCCGAAGCCATAACTTGCTTCATTTTCGTCAAAATATGGCATACAAAACTAGAAGATTTTCTCTATCAAACGGTTGCTAAAGCAGCTTTATACGTCCAGTTTAAAAATGGCCACGTTGAGGATTTTTGCAAAATTACAAAGCCATAACTCCGTTCAAACTCATCCAATCTGAAAAGTTAATACGTCATCATAAACTAGAAGATTTGCTCTATTCAATTACTAGAACTGCTAAATACGTTCACTATTTAAAAAATGGCCACGTTGAGGATTTTTGCCCGAGTACCGCCGAAAGGTACTTTTTCGCTACATTGGCACTATTTCAACGACTATAGCTCCTTTCAGGGCGATTACATACTAAAGTAGGAGCAGATTCAAAATCCTCGTGCTTTTCTCTTTCCAAAAGTGTAAAATTGTTTAGCGGTCTCAACTTTAAAGGTTACATGCTTGTGAATTTGACGCTGAAGGCTGCGTTTCTTGTTGAATAGTGTACTCCTCCCTGTAATTTCACATGAACCCTTTCAGAATCCTCTTGATTTTTCCTGAATTGAGATTTTTTCTCCAGAGAGCCGTAGCTTAAGCGCACGCAATGACAAAAATAAATGCACGAAAAAGGACATTTGAAAATTCTAAACAAAAAAAACAGTTAGGTATCAGACTCGGCATTGTGCAATCGCGACAGCGACAATGAGCCCAACGCAAACCATAACGATCAATAACGCAACAACACACAGCAACAACGCCGTCGCGATTGCACAATCACTGAGTCTGACATCCAGTTTAGGCGCGATATTGGAGTTTCAAGAGGTGATGTCGCGCTGTAAGATCTTGGTATGCACCTGCTCACAGATGGCCTCCTGCATCATGTTACATCAGTACTCTTGTTTTTTTTGGTGATTCATTAAGCTTTTTGTAATGATGTTCTCACTGTCCTGAAGAGAGGCATACATTTCCGAAGCTATCATGACTCCCACTGGAGCTAAATAGTTATCTATTCCATGATGGGGGGCATTTTGGTGCAAAACACCGTCTTTCGAAACCTCTACTAACATACTCGTATGTTATGAAATCTGGAAGAAATGATACTCACGCAGTTTCCTTTCCGTCAAGCGATTGGGATCACCTCGAATCGTCTTTTCTTAGAAAAAAATTGAGATGACTGCATTAGTGCTCTTTCCACCAAGACACGTTGCTGCCGTAGTTGAGGCGCACAAGTCTGTGTGGTCTCAGCGGAATAGTGTAACTCGTCTATTCCAGCATTTCACGTATGTCAAATGACTCACCTCACCAGTGAACTGGCTACATTCCTCCTGACTCACGGATTCGTCGTTCCGCACTGTCTTCACCACTACTTAGCAGAGAGAGCGCAGACTAGTCATGTGACGGTGCGGCGGCTGTACCACTCTATGCCTGTACGAACCCCTTTCTGAATCTTTTGAACAGTCCTTATCACATAATAAAACTGGCTAAATGAGTAGCCACTACCTACGCATCTCTTCAGAAATGGCACGATTATCGATTGGCGTGCACGATATGCCGCGGCACTATGCTGGGATGCGGCATAGATTTCCGTTCACGACTCCGATTTTAAAAATCATCTAGATGGCATCAGACAACTATGAATGCACTGCTTCTTCTATTCTCGTTACTTATCACTCTATTTCTTTTTTTTCTTCATGTAACGTGCCAACGTGGATCATTGTTATTACTGTTGTAAGATTGCTGTATTACACCATTCCTTGACATCTTTACATTTTTTGCCACTACTATTTACCTTTTACTGCCCCATTCCTCAAAAAATGAGCGAAATTTGTCTCCGAAAGGTAGAGTTGGACAGAAGTTTGCTTGCCGGAATAACTTCATCAAGCGACGATTCCGCGTCACATGCTCTGGTGGTAAACGAGTGTTATATCGCTGTGCGCGGTCGTCGAGCGCCAGACAAAGTGGTATTCAAGTGTCTTATTGTAGTACCCCAGGTACAAGTTTCTAGGCAGTCTACCGACAAATTTCGAGAATATCCAGCTGAAAAAGGGCATTAAAAAGTAAATAGTGGGACTGTCGCCTAAACCTACACCCTGAAAAAATGCCGGACGAGTTTTCCTGGCATGCTGCCCACTTTTGAACCTACTTCGTTGCGGGACCATGCTCCTCTCTTTACCATCAATTGATTCTGGCACTTCCTTAGACATTGTTAAGGTTTTCAGTGGGTAGGCTTTCAGTGCGGTTAGGAGTGAGTCAACCAAAGAGAAAAGCGCAAGATACTTGGGCGCAACGTGGCTACGGAGTGGGGAGGGGGGACATCCTGTAACATTGCGACAGGTTCACGGAAATTTTCAGTTTTGGGACTAAGCTTTGGAGAAGAGGGAAATCGAG